TCTTCTTGGATACTCCCCAGTCTTTCTCTTATGCACAATCATCCTTTTTTTTTGCCTGATTTCCTCTTTACACCATCTGTGCTGTGTGTGTATGGTATGTCATTAATGTTAGTGAACTATCAAAGTATATCGCTTTCTTGTGGGTCCTGGCTCAATTCTCTCTTTGCAGGACTAGCAGTGCTGTTTGGGGCCTAGACAGAATGTGAGAAGTAAAACAGTTGGTATAAAGAAGATGTGGTGGGCTAAGGACGGGATCAGTTACTAATTTGTGCAGAGTTACTAAAGAGGAGGAGGAAGCACTGAACATTGAATCACTGGAAACAGTGGAAACCACAGACGCTATAGGTGCACCAAAATGGGGGCAGTGACAACTCAGTCACTTGTTTTTCTTTTCACATGCAAAGTGCATCTCCATACCTGGATTTTGTGGTTTGTTTAGCAAGCCAGAGTTTATTTTAAACTACAATTCTTGATTCATATGTAATAACGAACAGGAATCTGCTACGGTGAAACTGACTTTTGATTTATTCTTCCTTCCAGCCACTATTATCTGGAATAGTGCTTCATGGAGAACATTTGAAGTTTTTTTGTTAAAATGTCACAGATCTCAGTTGACACATACTTCCTGTGCACTGGAGCAGCTTCCCTAAATTGTGAAAAGCTGTAAGCCTCTGAAGTTTGTATAACTTGGCCTCAGCTATTGGTATCATTTGCTGTGGTTTCAGCCGGAATTGTGAAAAAGGAAACTTCTGCCACCAAGTCTGTTAAGCAACTACCATCATGATGAAAGACAGCATGAGTTGCTCTTAGTTGTGAAAAGTCCCAATGACATGCTCATTTAAAGCTGGACTGACAGATAAGAGAGCACAGTAAAGCAAGATTTTTCTGAAGGTTTGCAGATCTCGGTAAAACAAAATGTTGCCTCCAGTCCCTGAACCATCCTTGTTGCATTCCTCTGTACCCTTTCTAGCTTTTCTGCAACTTTTAAAATCTTAGGTGCCTAGAACTGGGCACAGAACTCCAGGTGAGGTCTGACTAGTTCTGAGTACAGGGAAACTAGTTCTTCACTTAATTTAGCATGTTTATTTTACTTATATTTAGTAAACAAAGCTAAAAAAACGTATCCCATGTTATTTTTGCCCCAATATGGTTGGTTTTTCACCTGAAGTATTTGAGGGGAAATATATATTACATTAAACATTATTTGCATGCTATATTATTTAGAGTTTTAATTGAACTACTTTTAAAAATGTAAAGATAATACTTTGCACTACCTTTATAATGTTTCCATTTAAGGGGTGAATCTACTGAAACTGTTGCCATAATTAATAGTTTCACAAGCCAAATAAGTGTGCATGGTATTGTTTACAACTCATCTGTAACTCTGCCACTGCCAAACTTGCTTAACATTATATTTAATGTAGCTATTCATTGTTACTAATGAACTTATGAACTGGAAAATTTTCCACTGAAAAAGAGTGCACTGGAAAAAATTCTAGCTCACATCATTGCAGTCACCTCTATCAATTTTTATCTGAATTCAAAACTTCTAAAAGGAAAGACTGATCATATGTTACTTGTTGCTCTGATGTTTAATTGCGAGGTTAGTAGGTTATACCAGTAGACTACCAATGTTATGGGCTACTCCAAGCAAGATGATTTTCCCAAATCAATGGTTTCCAGAAGAGCAGCTGAGCAGGTCTTTTGAAGCTGTGCAATATGACATGAAGAACCTAGCTGTTTGAGTTTACAGGGGCTAAACAACCCAGCAGTTGACCTCAAAACAAACCATGGGTCAACTACTGGCTTGTTTTAGCCCATAAATAACCTAGCAGTCTGAGCTCAGATATGATGCTGCACAACCTATGAAGGAACTGATGGTGGCTCATGCTGTAAAGTGGAAGGTGCAAAAGTAGTGCAGGTAAAATTAGTTTACCAGTATCAGGATGACTATATGACTAACAGCTGTTTTGCAAGTTATCATTGTTAATAACATAATTTCCTCTGTCTTTGTGTTTCATTTCTTTGGGACATCTTCCACCGCACCCACCAGGTGAGCGTAGTTATTTGTAACTAAGAACATATCATGCACCTAATGAAAAGGACTAGTGTCAATAAAAATATCCTTGTCTTTAAAACACAACTAAACTTCTTTAAAAAAATAATATTACCACTGTGCAAGAAAAAAATGTACAAAAGCAATTTTGCTATCCCATTTGGCAGGAAGCCAAGATTATCTTTTGTTGCAAGTGCAATGAACAGATACTCCATGTCCAGCTTGTTTGCTTTCACACATAGTCCCTTACATAAGAAACTCTTTTCCTTCAAATATTTATATGACACAGTATTTGTCTTAAGAAAAATTTACTAACTTCTTAAATTATCTCAAAACTTTCACCCCTTCCATCTTAAGAAGATAAAAAACTATGCTGGATCAGGCCAAGGAACCATCTAATCCAGCATTCTGTTCACACAGTTGAAAAGTCACAGGTCCTTCTCTGCGAGCCATGCTTGAAGAAAGTCCAAGGGGAAGGGCTTTCTCAGCGGGAATCAACTCCCCAGGGAGGTAGGCCTGGTGCCAATGCTACACATGTTTCACACCAGGATAAAACTTTCTTATGTTCTCGCCATTTTTACCATTAATTATTTTTATACTGGCTTTTAATTGTTCTGGTTTAGGTGGATTAGCTGTTATTATGTATGGTTTTATTGTCTGTCACATATGCCTGTCACGATTTACTGTTGTAGGGATGTTTTAGGGCAGGCAAGTCTATGTTTAAGTCTGCCTTAAATTGTTAGCTTGGTGTATTTTAATTGTTTTCTGAGAACCGTTCTGAGAGCATTGTGTTAATTTGAACAATACAGAAATACTTTTAATTAATTAATTAAACCAGGTCCCATAGGAAACCTCAAGCAGGGTAAGAGTACACCAACTCCCTCCTGGCCATGTTACCCACCAACTGGTGTACCAAGGGATTCTGACTCTGATACCAGGGGTAAGATAGCTTTCTCCTCCATGAAATTCTCCAAACACCTCTAAAGCTGTCCAAATTGGTGGCAATCGCTACTTTCTGGGGTAGTGAATTTCATAGTTTTAACTTGAAATTTAACTTTACGCATTGCGTGAAGAAGTACTTCCTTTTATTTGTCCTAAATCTCCCACCCACTGGCTTCATGAGATAACCCTAGATCTAAGTATTATGGGAGAGGGAGAAAAATCTCTTTCCTTCCACATGAAGCATAATTTTGAACAGCATGTTCAACATGTTTTCCCTGCCTTGCCTTTTTTCAGAACTAAATAATCTCAGCTGTTGCAACTTTTTCTCATAGGAAAGTTGTCCCAACCCCTCTATCATTTTAGTTATGCATCTCTGCACTTTTCTGAATCCCATAAAGTCCCTTTTCAAGTGCAACAAACGGGACTGTTTACAATATTCTTAGTGTGGTTGCTCCCAAGATTTGTATAAGGGAAGTAGGATTTCTGCAGTTTTATTTTCAAGGCTTTCCTAATTATGACTAACAGAGAGTTTGCCTTTTTTCAGAGCAGCTGCACACTGGGTCAATAGTGTCATAAAACTGTAAACCACAACTCCAAGGTCCCTTTCTTGATTGGTCACCACTAGAGCAGATACCATCAGTTTGCAACCGAAGTTGCCCCATGCTCATTACTTTCCCCTTGCTTACCTTGAACTGAATTTGCCATTTTGATGCTCATTCTACCAGCCTGGAAATATCCCTTTGGAACTCCTCACAATCCCTTTTGATTTTAAACACCCTATATAGTTTGGCATCATCAGCAAACATGACCGTTCCATTGCTCACTCCTAATTCCAGATAATGTATCAATAGGCTGAAATGCATTAGTCCTTACACAAAACCCTGTGAGACCCCCACTAGTTGCATTCCTCCACTGAGAGAAATCATCATTTATTCCCACTTTCTCCTGTCCATTCTTTGTCCAAAGTCAGATGGATAACAGGATCAGTCCCTGGACAAAGGACCCACCCCCTTTATTCCATAACTGCCAAGTTTACTTCTGAAAACTTGTTGAGGGACTTTGTCAAAAGCCTTTTGGAAGTCCAAGTAAACAATGTCTACTGGATCGCCCTGTCCACATGTTTGACATTTTTGGAGAATTCTAACAGGTTAGTGACAAGACTTACCTTTACAGAAGCCATATTAATTCTTTTTCAGCAAAACTTGTCCCCTTAATCAATTTACCCAGAATTTAGCCGACTGACCTTTAATTTCCAAGACCCCCTTGATCAGTTTTTAAAAACTAGTCTTACATTGGCCATTTTCCAGTCCTCTGGGACAGATGCCTATCTTAAGAACATGTTACATATTTTTAAGGAGATCAGCAATTTCATTTCGAGCTGTTTAAGAATTATAAAGTGAATACTATCTGGGCATATTGATTTATTAATTTTCAGTTTCACAATAAGATTGATAATTTGATCTTTTGTTACTATTACCTGCCTTACCTCCTCCAGCCCCCCCTTCCTAAATATAGAAGTTCAGGAACAAGACTCTGACCTGTATCCTCTACTGAGAAGAAAGATGAAAAGAATCCATTTAGTTGCTCTGCACGCTCCTTATCCTCCTTTAGTACCTAATTCTAATATCATCCAATGGTTCAACTGCCTCTCTAGCTAGTTTCTTGTATTGATGACCATGACGTTATTAGCAATATGCTCATCAAAAAAAATTTATATCTCTTTTTATCTGCTTGCCTCTGCCTTGCACAAACTTGTACTCCCTTTTGTTTTCTTCATTTGGGAAAAACTTCTATTTTCTGAAGAAGGCTGCCTTCTCTCTAATAGTTCCCTTGATGCTGCTTGATAACTTTGTGCCACCTTTCCTAACTTGTGGTACACATACTATCTGAACCTCTATTATTTATTTATTTATTTATTTAAACATTTTTATGCCGCCCCATTCGCCGAAGCCTCGGGGCGGCTTACAACAATAAATTAAAACATCATAAATAACATTTTAAAATATATACATTAAAATAAAATAAAAATATACAATATAAAATAAGCCGCCCTTGCCAGATAAAATTCAATAATATTAAAATTTAAAATGCTGCTTAAATAAAAAGGTCTTCGCCTGGCGCCGAAAAACAAATAACGATGGTGCCAGGCGGACCTCTCTGGGGAGCGCATTCCATAACTTAGGCACTACCACTGAGAAAGCCCTCCTCCGAGTAACCACCCTCCTAACTTCTTCCACGGAGGGCTCCCGGAGAAGGGCCTCTCCCGCCGATCTCAAGGGGCGGCTGGGCATATATGGATGTAAGTGCTCCTTCAGGTAGCCAGGACCCAAGCTGTTTAGGGCTTTATAAGTCATCACCAACACCTTGAATTGGGCCCGGACTTCAATGGGAAGCCAGTGAAGCTGACGGAGGACTGGAGTCATGTGAGCATAACGCCCCATCCCCGTCAGCAGCCTGGCAGCTCTATTTTGAACCAATTGAAGTATCCGGACCGTCTTCAAGGGTAGCCCCATGTAGAGCACGTTACAGAAGTCAAGACGGGAAGTCACCAGCGCGTGTGTCACTGTCGCAAGGCAGTCGTTCTCCTATTGGTTTTGAGAAACCTCCAAGTATTCTGAAGGCATTTAATCTTTCTGAGTTCCCCTTTTAACGTCCTTGTTACCAGTTCCCTCACTGTGGACAAACTTCCTCTTCTGAATGTAATTTCTTTAGCAATCCTCCATGTAAATTTATATTAAATTTGATACAGCTGTGGTCCTAACTTTCAATTGGTCCAAGAACATTTACATCTTATAGTAGGTCCTTGGCAACCTCACCTAGGATTAAATCTAGGACTGCCATTTCTCTGGTTGGCTCTGTGACCAACTGTTCTAGAGCACAGTAATTTCGGACAAGAAATGTAACATCTTTGTTGGAACTGGAAAATACATTTAAACACTCAACTTGGGATGGGGTGCAGGGTAGTTGAAGTAACCTGTTACTAAAACACTGGTGTTTTAAAAAAGGTCTTGATTTCACTCTCCAACTCAAGATCACCCTGAGACCTCTGGTCTGGGAGGCAACAGCATATTCCTAGGACTAAATTAATATTGCCACTCACAGTGCTTCTGTTGAGGAGTTCACACCTTTTAGATTATCAGGTCTGTGGATTCTATGCCCTCTTTGACATACAGAGCAACACTTCCTTCAGTATCCTCTTCCCTCCCTTTCTATAGAGTTAATATTTATTTTAGGGACGACAGTATCTCATTGGTTCACTCAGTTCTAGAAGGTTTCTGCAATGCCCCCTATATCCAGCTTCTCCTTTGAAACCAGGTATTCCAGCATTCCTATTTTGACTCAGAGACTTTTAGCATTTGCACAGAAACACCTATCAGCAATGTTTCTCTCTTCAGATGTGTGCACATGCTTCAGCCCTTAGTGGTTATCATGTCTCTGCTCCCCTCCTACATTTGGCAATCAGAAACTTTTCCATCTTCACCCCCTGTTATTTTTATGTTGGGCAAATAATATTTTTCTTTCAGTTATATAGTGCTTTAACAAGGGGATCCTATTGGATCAATCAGCAAACTATATATATCTTAAGGCACCCTGAAGTATAAAGTTCATTTGGAACAGACTCTAGCTCATCAAATCTCATGTCATGATAAATCTGATACTCTTTAAGGTATCATAAGGCTATTACAGTTTTTGTGCAAATGGATGCCCCACCAGAAACAATTTCAGACTATGTGAAGTGCTTTGCATGTATTACCTGTCAGTCCTCACAACAACTCCGTAAGGTATATGAATACACTCATCTCTATATTCAAAAAGCTGAGGTGGAGGTCAAGGAAAGAGAGTAGCTCGCCACTAGCCACCTATAAAGTTCATGGCAAAAGAGACGCCCAAACTAAGACTCTCCAAACTCGCAGCTCCGTTTCTGTGACGCTACACATGCTGATCTGGAATTATGCCCGCTGCAAACACCCAGATTTACTTTCCTGGAGAGACGTACAGCGACGCGCCATTCTCGGAAGAGATGGAAAGAAAGTCCCCGTTCCCGACTTACCGGTTGGGAGCAATTGAAAACTGGCGGGTGATTGAGGAGAAGCCTCAGTCCCGACGCGGTGGACCCCAGCCGCAGAAGCAGCGCAAAGAGCAGCGCAGGGGCTGCCCCCATCCTCGATCCAGCGAAGCGAGGCCACCGGGCACATTCGCTTCGCCTCGTCTGCCGCCAGCTTCCGGGACCCGAGAAAATCCCAGGGGGCGGCGTTTCGGGGAACTCGCCCGAGGAGGAGCAAGAGGAGGGGCGCGGCTCTGAGGGAGGGGGCGAGGGCGAGGGCGGGGGCAGAGGAGGCAGGGGCGGGGACAGGCGAGCGGCCCCGAGAGGCGGCGCGAGGGCGCGGTGTGCAGGTGCGCGCGCTCCCGCGCCAGGTCTGCTCAAGACTTTGCCCTTTCCGTGAGGCGCGGAGAAGCCGGTCGCAGTGACGCAAGAGGGGGCGTGGCCAAGGCGCTGACGGGCGGCGGAGGCGGCTTTGGCGCGAAGACGGGCGGAACGAGGCGCGCGTTGCGGGAAGCGCTCGCGCCCTCTGCGCCGCGCGCGCCTTCCCGATCCCGTTGCACCCGCCGCGACCGTCCCGTCCGTCTCCCTCGGCTCACGGTCGGATCGCGTGTGTTTATCCTGTGTGTGAAAGCGTGTGAAACATAAAAAGATCAGCTGTACATTCATTCGCCTTGGACGATTTCTCTCACCTCACGGACTGGCCGCGTAACCTTGTTGCGCCTGTTCACACAGCGGTAAATTCTGTGGAGGTTAATGAGTCTTACTCCCAGATAGATATAATTCCTTTTCTGTCAAACCCGCCAATGAGAAAATGACCTCCCTCATAGGGCTGCTCTGAGGCGGGGGCGGAATATGATAAGCCACATATATGTTATATTAGGAGGGTCTATGGTGTTGATATTGGTCTTGCTGGCCAATCCAAAAGTTAAAATTCGTTTAGGTTACCTATGATTCCTTCCGGAGGTGTTTCTAGACAGTATCCCATACAGGGATGGATCGGAGCAAACTTGGTTTAGCTTCAGCAGGGTGATTAAGCCTTATAACTTCAGGCCAGATCTTTCCTCTTCAAGAAGGTCCTCCTGTCTCTTGTCTCTGGTAAGGGAAAGCCCAATGCAGAGCGCAGGTGGTTGGGTTCAAGTGTTCAGCTTTGTCCCATCCACCTACCTAGCTTGCTTTAGAGCAAGGGAAGTGTAGTGGAGGTCACCACTTTGACCTGCTTGACTAAGGCTGTCCAAGTATATCGGCCACATAGCTGCCAAACAACTCCTGATGTTCCAATCTTTGAGCTGTCAAATTGCAGGGATTCTAGCATAACTGCTTGGATTTACTCTGCCCACCACTGCAGCCTCAACATTGGGAGGAAAGTTGTTCATCTTGCCTAATAAGTGTTTTCATGATGTTAGCAGCTATGCAAGGTTGTTATTTTTTCAGGATTCAACTTGTGAATCTCCCAAAGTGGTTTACAAGGTCTTTTAAACAATTTAGTATTAAAAAAAATAGTACAATATCACTGTAGATTTTTTTAAGCCAGAGAAGCCCAGGAAAAGGAAACATTCTGAAAGCCTTTTTGAAGAAAGGGCTTCTGCTGCTGCTGAAAGGATAAGAGATCCTGTCAGGTCTTCCTGGTGAGTAAATTACTCATTGCCTCCCCACAGATGGTATAGGGCAGTGATGGTGAACCTATGCCACGCATGCCACAGCGGGCACACAAAGCCCTCTGTTGGCGTGCAAGCCAGTCGCCCCAGCATCGCCTCAGCAGCCGTGCACTGGATAACAGCGCACATAGGGGCCATGCACATGCTTGGAAAGGAGTCGCGGCACCAGGCAATGACATCACAAGCTGTGACTAATTAGCTGCGACTAGTCCGAGCTTTTGTATGGCGCTCAGACAAGCACCATACAAAGTGCCAAGGAGATATATATTCTGTGTGTGTGTATTTGCTTGGACTGGCTGTGAGTTGTTTTTTTCTAAACTAAAACTTCAATATTCAGGTTTTGTTGTAGTGTTGGCACTTTGTGATAAATAAGTGGGTTTTGGGTTGCATTTTGGGCACTTGGTCTCTAAAAGGTTCGCTATCACTGGTATAGCGCCTCAGGATTCCCTCTTCATATTTTAATATATGGGCTGATTCATGTGGGAAGGAGTGGTCCTTATATTATTCTAGTTCTAAGATAAATAGGGCTTTGAAAGTTGGAACTAGCATTTGGAACAAGGCCATTTATTTATTTATTTATTTGGGATATTTCTAACCCGTCCGATCACTATGTGTCTTTGGACAGCTTCCAAACAAAATCCAATAAATATAACAGTATAAAATATCATAAATACCCCAAACAATAATATGAGTAATAATCCACAATTGAAGTAAAATGTAATTAAAATCTTTTAAACATTAAAATACTTGGTGAATAAAAAGGTCATAAGCTGGCTCTGGAAAGCATATAATGTCAGTGCCAGACGGACCTCTCTAGGGAGCGCATTCCATAGCTGGGGTGCCACCACAGAGAAAGCCCTCCTCCAGGTATTCTGTTTTCTAATCTCCTTCAAGGAGGGTTCCTGGAGCAGGGCCTCTGCTGCAGATCTTAAGTGGCAGGAGGGCATGTAGGGAAAAAGATGTTCCATTAGGTATCCTGGTTCCAAGCCATTTAGGGCTTTATAGGTCATAACTAGCACCTTAAATTGGGCCTGGAGTTCAATGGGAAGCCAGTGAAGTGGATGGAGGACTGGAGTTATATGAGAGTAACGACCAGTCCCCGACAGCAACCTGGCAGCTCTATTTTGCACCAATTGAAGCATCTGGACCATCTTCAAAGGCAGCCCCATGTAGAACATGTTACAATAGTCCAATTGGAAGGTTACCAGAGTGTGTGTCACTGTTGCTAGACAGTGCTTGTCCAGGTGAGGACGCAGCTGATGGATCAACCTAGTAGTGCAAATCTATGCATGTTTACTTAGAATCATTCTGTGCTATTCTGTTTAGCTTATTTCCAGGTAAGAGGGCATAGGATTGCATCTTAATATATGTAGAACCCCATCCTATGTACATTTATTCAGTAGCAAGCCCCACTCTGTTTAAAGGGATTTTCTACAAAACCTTTTTGCTGAATGGTGGGCTAAAATTGCCCTTGGTCTTGAAAGTGGAAGGGAAGCACACTTTGGCTTCTGTCATCAGCTTGGTGACCAAAGGCCACTAGGAGGGTGTACTTCTTGCTTCAACTCAAGAGGGAGACTGATGCAGAAAGAGCAATTGGTGCTCATATCTCCCTCGCTTCCAGAAAGAGTACTGTGTTTTGAATGACAGTTGTTCTGGGACTGCAGAGGTAAAGGGAAAGAAGTCTTTGGACCTATCCATTGACTTAAGCAAGAAGAGCCCCACTGAAGCAAGAATACTCACAAGAGATTTTAGCTTGGTCTAAAGAGCATTTAAATGCCTGCCTATAACTTAAGTTGGCTTTAATTTATGTTCTCTCTTGTCTTCTTTTCCCCTCCATTCCTCTTTTCTTCTTTTTAAATTGATATCCACTTTGGGAGATGATGGGCAGAGCACAACAGTGTACAACCACTAAGCTTAATTACATCGCACTAGTGTAAATTACTCTGGCACAACCCCAATAGCTAATCTACATTACTGGTTGTGTCTTGTTGGTTACTGCCCAATAATTGACTGAAAAGTGGAAAATGAATTAAATAAATAAAACCACTTTGAATAATAAGTTACCATAGAATTGTGGTAAATCCCATTTAGTATAGCATGGAATTTGCTTCCAAGTAAATAGACATCGATTGGATTCTAGTACACCCCCATTTAACCTAGTGTGGGATTTGGGTGCAATCCTAAACACTCTTGATTGAGGGTAAATCTCATGAATTTCTAAGTATATGGTCCCCAGAGAGGCCAACAAATTTAGATCCATTTGAAACCTTATGTGACAATTCTGTTGACTGGTACTACCCTGATGTTACATGTTTGCCACAGTAAAAATATAATGCATGATGAAGAAATACGTCATCACAAAGTAGATACTGACCCTAGCTCCATATATCAGGGTGGAATATTTTATTGTATCTGCCTGTGAATATTTCAGACAACTTTATTAAAAAGTCCACAATATTTAATGAGGTAGCCTACCAAGGGATGACAGACAAGGAGTCTGGAGAACTCTGTTCCTCCTCCAGCAGCCCACTGATTCTTTACTGGGCATGGAAGAATGGGTTTCTCCTCTCTGACAACACACTTGCTTCCTATGCTCAGCTTAGAGGTGTCACAAACACTATCTGATCTATGCTCTCCTGAAAATTCAGGTGCCTTCCAAATGTTTTGGACAACATCATTGTGTATTTCTGGGCATTGAACATGCCAGTGCGGGTTTATGAGAGAGGAAGTCCAAAATGTCTCAAGGGTAGTTAAGGAAGGCTAACTATGGCTACCAGGTGAGTGCTTAAATATAAGTCTGGTTTGAGAGTACATTATCTTTACATTGTTATATATTTATCATTTTGGTCTCTGAGAAACTGCTCTTATAATTGATGCGGAAGAGAGAGGTGTGATCTGTAAGGTAGATATAAATCTTTCATTTTAAAATGAAGCTATATAATTTGCAATTGTGCAAGAACAATTTTTTTAAGATTTGAGAGAGATTGACACAGAGCCCACCTGCTGCTTCAGTCATACCATGTAGTTTCCCACTTCTTCAAGGTTAGGAACCAGGAAATGTTCTTCACAGACTGTAGAGTAGTAAAAAATTGTAGAACTTGGATCCAGATCAGTGTCATGTCTATTTAGCCCTTTTGGCAACCATATATATATCTCACAAACATATTATTGAACATACCTCAATTTTAGGGATATACATATATACATATGAATTGGAATCCATGTAACATATTTCTATATTTGCATTGGTATATCTGCGTGCAATGCATTCAGCTGCAACAATGTCGTAGTGAATGTTCTGGCTTCTAAATCCAGTCTTTAATATTACTGCTTAAAAGATTAAAGGGATCTTGAGGAGGTCTTGTAAATCAAGATTGATAATACTGGATTAAGTGGCAGCCCATCTCAGTATAATTGTTGTTTGCATTTTATGTAATAAATGCATAATCCTGACTGGATAATAATATAGCCTTTAATATGCTCCATTTTGTATGTATGCTGG